TGCTGCGGCGATTTCTGTGTCCACCTTTTCTTATCCATCGATGTCCATAAGTTGGCTAGGTGACTGATAACACCAGAGTGCTGGACATCAGTAAGCCAGCAAGCGTCACTGTAAGATCCCTGCAGTGATTTAAGCCTCGCAGTACAAACTTTGTACCGTGTAAAGGTTGTCCTTTTGGATTTAATTTGACTTCTTTATTAATCAGTTTCCTGAATTTCTATCAGAGAGTGATAATCTGGTTCAATCGGAAAGAATATTGCGTATCAAGACACAGAGTAGCGGCGAGGAAGGCTCAAACATAAGCATGATATGATAAGTATGTAATAACGGCGAGCGAAAACGAAACTGCATTTTAAAGGTTAGGTGGTTCTTATTTCATGTTTCATGAAGGGAAACATGATCTAATCTTACATTCCCCAATGCTTGGATGCTGAGTTCTTTGCAAATTCGCCGCGATATTGCTGGCTGCGGCGGCCGGCGCGGCGACCTACTTACTGCCACGATTGAATAGTCAAGCACGCAGGTTTAGTAAGTCGATGCGTAAATTCGCTGAATAAACCGGCGCACGCCTCAGCTGCCGGCGCGACGACCGCCTTATCATTGAACGAATCAAGCGTGGGGAAACGGTCAGCAGACTCGCACGGTTGTGGCGCCGCTTTCTCGAAGTGCGCGGCGATTTTGTATCTAGCGGTCGGAGCGGTGGATTTCTTGCAGTCAACTATAATCACTTGAGTCGAAAGCGATTCTGATGATTCTGATTCTGATGAACCCCTCCCGATACCCTTTCGTACCCAAAACGTTTGGTGCCCACACAATTTAGGGCAACTTCAATGTGCGCACTAAACCTTGGATACGAAAACGTAGAGGTAAAAATGCTGCGCACAAATCTGCAATCGTTGTATAAGGGTGATGTCAATGCGTTATTATTAATGAATCTTTTATTCGTTGTCGTGTGTCATAACAGTAGATGGACTTAGATACTATTGAAAGCCGGGTTTCCGATGACATTGCTTGCGAAGAAACTTTAAAGTGAAGGCAAAGCAACTTCAGAATAACACCAAGATTTTCGAGAATTATAAGCTTCAAAGTGGTAAGTTTTTAATTCGGGAAAAACGATAACTAATAATGGCTAATGATTCTAAATGATCTCAAATGAGTATAGAAAATGAGTGAAGACGGCATATAATTTATTTTCGGTTCCGAAGCGAGACCATGTCCATTTCAACAGAGTAGTAATGCGCAACTTGCAAAAACGTAGTTAGAAATGAAGAGTATTTCGTAGCTGTTCTGCTTCTCCCAATGTTATTCTTTTCTCGGATAGGAAGACCAGAGAGAAGTGAATTTACCCGATCATCGTTGAAATTGAATGTAAAGGGAAGAGTTGGCTTTGCGTCCCTATACCTTTCAAACACGAATCCCCATGCAACTGTGACGTTGCGGTCATGATCAGAAGCGCGGGATTTAGGGAGTTTCCGACACACATCAGAGGCTGCAGCAACGACTAACGTGACAGAAGCGCTCAGTCGGTGTAACGGTGAAGTTCTACTGCTGGCTGAGCGGAACTGTAAAGAAAACCGAAGTCACAGATTAGCTCTTTTTTCACCGCAGAAGCCGAGATGTCGCACCGTCACAGCACAATAGGGAAACGTAAAGGTAATCTCTCGTATTGTGGATCAATGATCTGCCTCAAGAATGCGAGGTATAGGCTGGACCTAAAGCGATAGCTTCTGATGTGAGTGTTCTAATTCTAATGACCTCCCGCCTGGACTCTCATCCCCTCATTCTTCTGGATTTTCATTTCAAGCTCTTTTCCACGATTTTGTTCGACGTTGTCACCGCTGTAAGTTTTGAAAATATTGTTGTGATTTCATTCGACCAGTGAATTCTTGAGTTCGATCGCGTGCTTAAGTTTATATTGCTGTTCCGAAGGCCAGCAAAATCAGTTCGAAAGATAGGTGTATGCCAAGCCGTCAATGGACATCGAGCGAGAGGTGCACCGAATACACTCAATCATACTGCAATTGTCGGCGAGGTGAGTTATCAAGTAATCCTCTGAGCAGGAACCAGTTCAGAGAAGGCAGTGTTAGATTTTCAGATGGGGAATACTATACTCAGCTCTTGATGCGTCAGATGGATATATATTCTCAGAGAAGCTCGCACGGTTGCATTTAGCCTACAGCGAACAAGTTTCTTTAGCTCAAGCGTAGAAAGCTCAAGCTTAGACTGCACACAAAGAAAGAGTGATAGAAGGACTTATTGCTGAAAAGCTCCCGCTTTCAACTCTTTTCAAAATTCAATTCCAAGGGTTGATTTCAACAGAATTTCAACAAAATAATTGAAATTCTACAGTCATTCAAACGAGGCAATTACATCATAAATTTCCGAATGTGATCTTAGCCGTCGTGTCAAAGCCCGCCTGTCGTCATTCCTTCGTTCTTAGTTCCACCTCTTTTCCCCTTTCCGAGAAGCCCTGATGAATAGTTTTCATTAATATGATACTAGGCCTACTTAAGCCAGTCAAATGTCTCCCAACTTTGATATGGCTTGTCGGCCGTGCTCAAACAAGTCAGGATTGGTGTTCAGTTCGAGGTCTGTCACAGTACTTCACACGTTTCAGGCCCTCCCATTTCATCTTGACGTTGTCAATCCAAGTAGTTTTTCATTTAATTTGGCAGCCTGAGAACCAAGCGATGAGGTACTTAAATACAAATACGTGATTCGGGATTGCAAAATTTTGCTGCTTTCTTATACTCAGCTAAGACTCGCAGATAATCGCAAAACTACGCTCTTATTCAGCTCTAACGAAATTCATATACTTCTCGTGAAATATTTTGCCCTTTTCATAAGGCTGGCACAAAATCCTACCTGTAGTTTCTTTCATAACCAAAACCTTTGAACAAGATTTGTAAAGCAATGGAGCATTTGAAATTACCTCCCCATCCAAGATTGTTGGCCAGAATAACCCATGATACTGCGAAGGACCAACCGATTCGAGCAAAGTTGTTGTATGTGCCACGCACAGCCTTGCTGAAATCATTACACATTCGAAGCATTTTCTAATTTTGCATTATAAAAGCTACAATTAAGTTTAATGGCATCAATGGGCAGAGGTCAACTGGGAAACAAGATCATTCCAGGTCAGAGTCCCTAGCAGTCTTCTTCAGCTCGGAAACCCACCCCAGGATCAAGTTATTGAAGTAGGAGCGCTCTAATGAAAGTGGTGCGAAGTGGAGCGCTGAAAAACAAAGAGAAACTGCAAAAGGAAAAGACGACTAATCGGAGCATCCGAGTGCTTAAGCCTTTCTACAGTATTTTTTTCTTATTTTCGAAACTGGAACCCCTGAGTTTGCATCATTTGGCTCCGTTTTCTTAAATTTCAAAACTGGAACTCCTGAGTTTGCATCACTTGGTTCCGCTTTCTTATTTTCGAGAACTGGAACCCCTGAGTTTGCATCACTTGGCTCCGTTATCTTATTTTCGACATCTAGATTTGCTGAGTTTGCATCCCTTGGCTCCGTTTTCCTTTTAGGCATAAGTGGCTCAAAGAGCATCTTTTCGAGCTTCGCAGTAGGAACTTCAAATAAACAACTCCATATGAATGCTGTGAAGTAAGAGATCGCTATAACTGGTATTGTCCGATAGACGTACTGAAAGTAAAACAATTAAACTTTCAATTAAAAAATTTTCTATTAGGTTGTCCAAAAAGTAATGCAGGTTTTCGACCTCCTCCTACAAGCTCTACACATGTCGTCAGCAGCTTAAACTCAACGTTTTTAGACACAAACCGCCGGAAGCTACACATCTTCTACGTAGAGATCGTGTTATATCGAAATTCAGCAATATATAAGAAGAGAATAAAATGGTTCGCATATGTGCAACAGTTGTTGCTCTTAAAAGAAATTTCCGCAGAAATTCAAATGCATATAAATGAATGTGGCGGAGCGCCTATTAGACAACCTAATAGAATACAAACCGATTGCCAGATGGAGACGTAATGTGTTGGTCGGTCGTCAAGGTTGAAAACGTATTGGACAATGTAGAAGTGGACTATGTATGCACAGTAGGATAGCCGTCCGAGAGGTTGCCACAACGGATGGTCCATGAAGGGGGCGATTGGACCTGAACTGATAGATGCTAGGAGTATTCTGAAATTTATGATATGTTCAGCGGAAATGCCGCACAGGGGGCACGGATTGTTTTCTGTTTATTTGGACGAGTAGGTGAAAAGCGGGGGGTGAAAAGTTAGTTCATGCGTCATATAAGCTCACATTACTGTTTCTATGTTGTTACGTGTTGAGGTGCGTCCCAATATAATTTCCGCTTTATTCCTGGTGCTTTTCATGGTTAACTTATTTTGTGCTCATTCAGCTATGTTGCCAATAATACTCGAATTACAAATGATATAAATCCTAGAAGCTGAACTACCATCACTGAAGTTTGTGCTAGTTGTTTTTCAATCGATATCTTTGTGGAAAAGCCGTTTGCCATAACTACAGGGTGGCTACTAAATATTGGCGCATGGTTTATTGACCATATTTTTGCAAAGAGAAACTATTACATATTCAGAAGTTTATTTTTATATACAGTAAAACATATCCATGCATCACTGAAGAAGGTGCTCGAAATGGCCTCCCTCGGCAGTGATACAGGCTTCAAGTCTCTTCTCAACTGACATCACCGTGGGCCGCAAGTAAGTGACGTCAACGTGACGCGAGAAGATCATCACACTGGAATTGGCGCACAATTCTCAAAAGGACAGGCAATTGTTGGATCCGGCTAGCAGGCATCCTGCTCGACGTCGTGCGCACACAAGGAGCCGATTTCCAAAATCTGTCATGATTTAGGCAGGAATTACTTCCGACACCGAGACACCGTTTCGTCTTTGGACAAATCCGTCAAAATTAACGCCCAGATCTACCAGGAAACAATTTTACGTGATGTGCTCGTTCCATGGACTGTTTCGACCTCCAGCAAATGTCAGTGCCTTCTTCAGCAAGACTAGGCGCCTCCCCATGCCGCAAAATCTACGCTGGTGTTCTGTGACCGCCATTTTCCAGGTTACTGGTCACCGGATGTTTGGCCATCTAACTCACCCGATTGAACCCAATGGATTTTGCGGTGTGGGGCTTCCTGCAGCAGAAGATGCCTTCTAGGCAACATCGAAGTTTGGACTTCCTGAAGGCTTCCTAGGAGGAAGCGTTGAAGTAACTCGACGAAAACTGCTTGCGGCCCACGGTGATGTCAGTTGAGAAGAGACTTGAAGCCTGTATCGCCGCCGGAGGACTTCTTTCCGAGCATCTTCTCTAGTAATGAATTGTTATGTTCTACTGTATATAAAGATAAACCTCTGAAGATTTAATAGATTCTCTTTTGGAAATATGGTCAATTAACCATGCGCCAATATTTAGTAGCCACCCTGTATTGTCCGCTCACTTCGTCTTGCCGTGGAAACCACTGGATCCGACCTCGACTGGATTACGTCGGAGTTTCGCGCGCCTTCTGAGCCTGACATGGGTGGCAAGAGAACCAGAGGTTAGCTAAAGGGAAAAGTTTCTTACTGAGCTTTTCAGATCGTTCGGGAGCAGTTTAGCGAGGGCGACGGACTATACAATCGTCGGCTAATGAGGTCACGCCGCTCACGCGGCGAGAATCGTCGCGTGCGGCAGTTGCTGCGGCGATTTCTGTGTGGACCTTTTCTTATCCATCCATGCCCATAAGTTGGCTAGGTGACTGATAACACCAGAGTGCTGGACATCAGTAAGCCAGCAAGCGTCACTGTAAGATCCCTGCAGTGATTTAAGCCTCGCAGTACAAACTTTGTACCGTGTAAAGGTTGTCCTTTTGGATTTAATTTGACTTCTTTATTAATCAGTTTCCTGAATTTCTATCAGAGAGTGATAATCTGGTTCAATCGGAAAGAATATTGCGTATCAAGACACAGAGTAGCGGCGAGGAAGGCTCTAACATAAGCATGATATGATAAGTATGTAATAACGGCGAGCGAAAACGAAACTGCATTTTAAAGGTAGGTGGTTCTTATTTCATGTTTCATGACGGGAACATGATCTGATCGTACATTCCCCAATGCTTGGATGCTGAGTTCTTTGCAAATTCGCCGCGATATTGCTGGCTGCGGCGGCCGGCGCGGCGACCTACTTACTGCCACGATTGAATAGTCACGCACCCGTAGCGATGACCTGAGAAAATTGCTGAATAAACGGCGGAGCAGTTCAGCTGCGCGACGACCCTTTATGCCAGTTGAAGGTCATCAAGCGTTGGGGAAACGGTCAGCAGACTCGCACGGTTGTGGCGCCGCTTTCTCGAAGTGCGCGGCGATTTTGTATCTAGCGGTCGGAGCGGTGGATTTCTTGCAGTCAACTATAATCACTTGAGTCGAAAGCGATTCTGATGATTCTGATTCTGATGAAAGCGATACCCATTCGTACCCAAAAGTTTGGTGCCCAGACAATTTACGCCAGCATCAACGTAGGTGCGCACTGAACCTTGGATACGAAAAGCTAGACCTAGCGATGGGGTAGCCAAACCGTCATGGACATCGAGCGAGAGGTGCAATGAATACTCAATCATACTGCACTTGCCGGCGAGGTGAGTTGTCGAGTAATCCTCTTAGCAGGAACCAGTTAGAGAAGACAGTGTCTAGATTTTCAGATGGGGAATACTATACTCAGCTCTTGATGCGCCAGTTGGATATATATTCGTAGAGCTGGCAAGGCTGCATTCAGACTACAGCGAACAAGTTTCTTTAGCTCAATAGTAGACAGCTCAAGCTTCCACTGCACACAAAAAGAGGGCCGCAGGGCCAAGTCATGATAAGAGATCGCTATAACTGGTATTGTCCGATAGACGTACTGAAAGTAAAACAATTAAACTTTCAATTAAAAAATTTTCTATTAGGTTGTCCAAAAAGTAATGCAGGTTTTCGACCTCCTCCTACAAGCTCTACACATGTCGTCAGCAGCTTAAACTCAACGTTTTTAGACACAAACCGCCGGAAGCTACACATCTTCTACGTAAGAATCGTGTTATATCGAAATTCAGCAATATATAAGAAGAGAATAAAATGGGCTCGATAATTATGTGCAACAGTTTTGCTCTTGAAAGAAAATTTTCCTGCAGAAATTCCAATGATAAATGACATGTGGGAGCCTTTGTAGACAACCTGATAGAATACAAACCGATTGCCAGATGGAGACGTAATGTGTTGGTCGGTCGTCAAGGTTGAAAACGTATTGGATAATGTAGAAGTGGACTATGTATGCACAGTAGGATAGCCGTCCGAGAGGTTGCCACAACGGATGGTCCATGAAGGGGGCGATTGGACCTGAACTGATAGATACTAGGGTATTCTGAAATTTATGATATGTTCAGCGGAAATGCCGCATGGGGCACGGATTGTTTTCTGTTTATTTGGACGAGTAGGTGAAAAGCGGGGGGTGAAAAGTTAGTTCATGCGTCATATAAGCTTCACATTATTGTTTCTATGTTGTTACGTGTTGATTGCATCCCAATATAATTCCGCTTGATCCTGGCGCTTTTCATGGTTAACTTATTTTGTGCTCATTCAGCTATGTTGCCAATAATACTCGAATTTACAAATTATATAAATCCTAGAAGCTGAATTCCCATCACTAAAGTTTGTGCTAGTTGTTTTTCAGTCGATATCTTTGTAGAAAGGTTTGTCAAACTAAGTATTGTCAGCCACTAGTCGTTGCCGGTGTGAAACCACTGGATCCGACCTCGACTGGATTACGTCGGACTTTCGCGCGCCTTCTAAGCCTGACATGGGTGGCAAGAGAACCGGGAGTTTCTTAATGAGCTTTTCAGATCATTCGGGAGCAGTTTAGCGATGACCTAAGGAAAATTGCTGAATAAACGGCAGAACAATTCAGCTGCGCGACGACCCTTATGCCAGTTGAAGGTAATCAAGCTGTTGGGGAAACGGTCAGCAGATTCGCCCGGTTGTAGCGCCGCTTTCTCGAAGTGCGCGTCGATTTTTGTATCTGGCTGTCAGAGCGGTGGATTTCTTGCAGTCCACCATGATCACCTGAGTCGAAAGCGATTCTGATGGAAGCGATACCTTTCGTACCCAAAACGTTTGGTGCCCACACAATTTAGGGCAACTTCAATGTGCGCACTAAACCTTGGATAAGAAAACGTAGAGGTAAAAGTGCTGCGCACAAATCTGTAATCGTTGTATAAGGGTGATGTCAATGCGTTATAATTAATGAATCTTTTTTCGTTGTCGTGTGTCATAACAGTAGATGGACTTAGATACCATTGAAAGCCGGGTTTCCGATGACATTGCTTGCGAAGAGACTTTAAAGTGAAGGCAAAGCAACTTCAGAATAATACCAAGATTTTCGAGAATTATAAGCTTCAAAGTGGCAAGTTTTTAAATCGGGAAAAACGATAACTAATAATGGCTAATGATTCTAAATGATCTCAAATGAGTATAGAAAATGAGTGAAGACGACATATAATTTATTTTCGGTTCCGAAGCGAGACCATGTCCTTTTAACAGAGTAGCAATGTGCAACTTGCAAAAACGTAGTTGGAAATGAAGAGTATTTCGTGGCTGTTCTGCTTCTGCCATTGTTATTCTTTTCTTGGATAAAAAGACCAGAGAGAAGTGAATTTACTCGATCATTGTTGAAATTGAATGTAAAGGGAAGAGTTGGCTTCGCTTCCTATACCCAAACAAAACCCCCACGCAACTGTGACGATGCGGTCATGATCAGTAGCGCGGGATTTAGGGAGTTTCCGATACACATCAGAGGCTGCAGCAACGACTAACGTGACAGAAGCGCTCAGTCGGTGTAACGGTGAGGTTCTACTGCTGACTGAGCGGAACTGTAAAGAAAACCGAAGTCACAGATTAGCTCTTTTTTCACCGCAGAAGCCGAGATGTCGCACCGTCACAGCACAATAGGGAAACGTAAAGGTAATCTCTCGTATTGTGGATCAATGATCTGCCAAGAATGCGAGGTATAGGCTGGACCTAAAGGGATAAGGGCGATAGCTTCTGATGTGAGCGTTCTATTTCTATATGTTGTTCTATTTCTAATGACCTCCCGCCAGGACTCTCTGATCTCAATCATTCTTCTGGTTTTCATTTTAAACTCTTTCCCACGATTTTGTTCGACGTTGTCACCGCTGCAGGTTTGAAAATATTGTTGTGATTTCATTCGACCAGTGAATTCTTGAGTTTGATCGCGTGTTTAAGTTCATATTGCTGTTCCAAGGGCCGATATTACTTCATAGAACTTGGACCACCTATTAGCAGCAAAACCAGTTCGAAAGACAGGGGTATGCCAAACCGTCAATGGACATCGAGCGAGAGGTGCACCAAATACACTCAATCATACTGCAACTTGTCGGCGAGGTGAGTTATCAAGTAATCCTCTGAGCAGGAACCAGTTAGAGAAGGACAGTGTCTAGATTTTCAGATGGGGAATACTATACTCAGCTCTTGATGCGCCAGTTGGATATATATTCGTAGAGCTGGCAAGGCTGCATTCAGACTACAGCGAACAAGTTTCTTTAGCTCAATAGTAGACAGCTCAAGCTTCCACTGCACACAAAGAAAGAGGGCCGCAGGGCCAAGTCATGATTGGTGTTCAATTCGAGGTCTGTCGCAGTACTTCACACGTTTCAGGCCCTCCCATTTCATCTTGACGTTGCCAATCCTAAGTAGTTTTTCATTTAATTTGGCAGCCTGAGAACCAAGAGATGAGGTACTCAAATACAAATACGTAATTCGAGACTGCGAAATGTTGCTGCTTTCTTCTGCTCAGCTAAGACTCGCAGATAATCGCAAAACTACGCTCTCTTCTCTTCTTACTATGCTCTAACAAAATTCATTTACTTCTCGTGAAATATTTTGCCCTTTTCATAAGGCTGGCACAAAACCCTACCTGTTGTTTCATAACCAAAACCTTTGAAAAGATTTGTAAAGCAAGGGTGCATTCGAAATTACCTCCCCATCCAAGATTGTTGGCCAGAATAACCCATGATACTGCGAAGGACCAACCGATTCGAGCAAAGTTGTTGTATGTGCCACGCACAGCCTTGCTGAAATCATTACACACATTTTTTCTAATTTTGCATTATAAGAGCTACTATTTAGTTTAATGGCATCAATGGTCTAGACCAATTAGGCCACGTGATCATTCAGGTCAGTTTCTAGCAGTCTTTTTCAGCTTGAAGACCCACACTAGGATCGAGTTATTGAAGTAGGAGCGCTCCAATGAAAGTGGTGCGAAGTGGAACGCTTAAAACAAAGAGAAACTGCAAAACTCCAAAAAATACAGACATTCTTGTTCCACGGTGTAGAGGAAAGTAATAGGTAAACAATGGAGAAGACAACTAATCGGAGCATTCGAGTGCTTAAAGGCAAACCCCGGGATTAGCCCGACTAGTAGGAAGGATACCGCGAGGGAAATTGTAAGGTCCGTACCTACCTAGATCACTCCAGCTTCGTCGCGAAAATTGCGCGGTTAGGGCGCTAATCTCACACCCTCCCCCCAACTCATAGAGCTTTCACGAGGTCATATGTGCATTTATTAAAAGTGTCGAAAGTCAATAAATGAAAAAGCTAAGCAGAGTGACTTGGAGCCGTCATGAGCTTCATTCATCGATCGCTTCCCTTAGTGGGAAGATGGTCTGCTGTCTGGCCACTCTGGAATAAAAAGGGCAACTGGACCAATGCTAGTGAAATGCCATTCAGCCACTCAGTGATGGCTTTCGCAGAAATCACAAGAGCAGAAATCACGATTCGAAGACACATCGGACCTCTGCTGCTCAAGATAGAAAACTGGATAGTAAAAATCATTTCGAACTCCTTCTACCTCGGCTGATGCTTCATACCGTAAGGACCTTCAATGGGAAACACAGGGCATCAGAGCAATATTGGGCGCCCATTCACAATGCAATTCACAATGCAGAAATTGTCTTGGAAATCATCATACTGGGAAGCGGCAACATAGCTCTCCCAACGCTAGTCCTACCACAATTTCTGTATTGAGTGTGCCGAAGGCAAAGCATTGCTATAAGCATAATAGGAGCATCGACTGTTCGAGCAGTCGCTCCTGAAAGCCTTGGACATACTTTACCACACCGACCTACACAACAGGGTAAGTGACTTAGTAGGGAATCTTCGTTTATTTCTCAACGCAGAAAGCGGTCACTTCAAAGGGCAATATTGCTTTCTGTTTGATAATCTTCCACCAACATGATTGTAATTTTAATTTGGGACTTCTCGACCACATTGCTTTTTTATTACCGTTTTACTTTGTTACCGTAATTTTTGCTCACTCTGTAGATGCTCCACCGCTGTGCATTGTATAATTGGAGGACTTTCTCATTCATATGACATGCACACGTAGCTCAATAGCGTTAGAGGACGAGCAATTGACACGGCCCATTTTTTTCAAAAAGAACAGAGCAATTCAAATCCACGCGTTAACCAAAATCAAACAACACCATTCTTAGTTTTCCGACACGCCGAAAACGATGGTTGCTATGCCGATTTACGAAATTTCCAAATAAGTCAGAAAACTGAAAAATCAGGGGGTGGCATATAGCAATTGACGCGCACTGTAGTAGACACACACATCAAGTTAGTGCGAAGGTAGTCGTCCTCCTGTCGGCGTAGTGAGATATAGGCGCTACTATGCCTACATCAAGCAATATCGTTGAAAGTTTATTAATTTAGTGAAAGTGGCTTGAGTTTTTGTTGGGGCGTGGCATGCAAGACATTCCTTTGTACATTTCAGGCACTTACTGAGATGAAAAAGCCGAATCATAAGCCTAAGATAGAGTTCACTCTTGAAAAGTCCCGAAGAATTATTTCTACTGAGTTCATCATGCTGAGTTTACGGATAGGTCGAACATGCTACAAAATCGCTAGTTCCTTGCTACTCCTGTCACTAATGCAAACTGCACAGAACAATGCAATGGTTGAAACGATCTCTCTCTCTCTTGCGTTCTAATATAGATTATCATAACCGATAATACCTCCAATCCTCATCTCCCTTGATGTAATCGTGTGGTCCATAGACACATAACAGCGAAATCCAGATCGAAATTACCCACATAGAAACAACGAATATCTTAAAGAAGTAGCTGAACAGGTACCTCTATCTATTTAGATTGCGATTTCATCATGCCATCTTCAATGACGTAGTTCTCAGTACACAAACGCACCCAGTGAAGCCTAGGCTTCCTGCCTCTAACCCGAGCAAGGAGGTAGCCGACGCCTAGTCCAATAAGATAAGGAGGGCATCGAGCCCACGGCTTTTCGTAGTACTCGTCGAAGAAAAGCTGTTCGTGCCTCCTGCAAATGGATCGAGCTTCAAAACTCATTCTGCGCTCAAGTAATATCATAATGGTCGTACTGGAAAAGGAATGCTACGAGCTCCGATGATGGCAGGTCGTCTCGTATTGTTATGATGTATGTGTAAGCAACACTTAGGGAACAACAAAGGAATAGCACTGCAACTCCTGTAAAGAAGAACGATTAGTATACCATAGTGGAAATGCTGACTTTCGAGATACACCACTTTGAGTTCAGCTGAATCCTTCGGTCCCTTCTGTATGTATGATAGAGCTGTCGAATAAAGCTGTAGATATCACTTTCTCTCGGCACGAAGATCTCTCTCATCCGAACATGCACATTCCACGAAATCTCTTTGGTTGCCTCTTTTGCCTGTTTTTCTTCTCCGCGCTCACTGCCATCAGCACTGTTGCCTTACAAAATGGGTGAGATTCATTTCAGAGCTTTCTGCGTAATCTTTCCTCATTTTTACTACTCATCCTTTTCGCGTAGGAATAATACCACTTCAATCGCAGGGTGTGATTAAACGAGACTCTTTCACAACAATTACTCGGATCATGGCCAAACTATGACGGACCTTCACAATTTTTTGCTAGGTTTCCGGTGTACTTAACCGCATGCTCGGTTTGATTTCCTTGTGGTGTCAAACGCAAGTGACTCTGGAGAATTATTTTAGGGTCTAGAAGCAGCTGTCCAATCAGCCCGAGAAGGACACGCTGTACGGAGCCTATGGAAGATCCCGAACGCTTGTGGAGGCTTACTACACTACGTCAGCTGGTGAGCCCAGGGAGCTCGAAGGAAGTAGCGAGTCGGTACGTTAATGAAAAGTACCAAACTATTTCTCAATTCAGTGTGTATTTATATGTCTGAGGTAATACTCCACTTCTTATCTGGTTGTTGTTATTATGTAGGGCAGTAAAACTGCGCACCTAGGTAAGTCAGAGGCCACTAGAAGATTCGCAGGCTTCCGCCCCTGTGTCCCCAGAAGGTGACTGGTTCGCTTCTCCTCTCGGTTACATAGGAGGAGCGTGGGGTCGATGGAAGCCCCGGCTGGGCGTTGGGAGCGGAGACACCGTTCCCGACATGAAGCTGACCGACAGCAGAGAAAATGGAAAATAAACCACCTAAAACGCTGAGCAAAAGTACGGAATTCCTGGGCATGGCCGGCTAGCCTTCTATAAGTGGAATGAAAACAGGGCACGAACCTTATGAGAGTTATCCGAAAGAAGGAAAAATAAGCATACCTATAATAGGTGACAAATACAGCGTGATCAAAAAAATTGGAGCGACTACATAGAGCTGCGTATCAACAGCGAGATACCACGAGATCCCATAACATTCCTGTGAAATTTTTTTCATTCTGTTTATTGCTGCGATAATCAAACATTTTAACGAAGTCTATTCTTCGGTTGACTTCAAAACTTAGAACGTGTGAAAATCCCCGAGATGGAAAATAATTGGACTGCGCTTCACTTCTTCACTACCGATATGAGTGATATGCACAAGATGCATGTTTTCTCGTATTCGATCAGGGTAACCAAGTTCCAGAAGTTTTAGTAACCCAGCGGTCGCGATAACCTCTCAGCAGTGCGATATTACCCTCCCTCTCACGAGGTCTCTTTTGATTCACCTGGATACAAGTGGTCCCCATTAAGAGCATCGATATCAATTATTCTAAAAGAGACGTGGTCTCCGGCAGCATATTCCTAGAATTGATCAGAGACCACTCACAGTGTCGTGACCAAAGAGATTGTTGATGTAGAGCATATTTTTCCACCAATACTTCTGGCAAATCTGCACGTTGGTGTCAATGTCCATGCCGAATTCCTTTAGGTGTAGAGGCCATCCATGGTCCATTCGTAAATTGAATCACACAGATAATAGACTAACTGACATCAATCCCTTGAGGTGTGCAGCCTTGAAATGATTTGCGTGCGTAGTTTACCGTTTTTTCTTCATTTCTAACGATATAATAGTACTGCTCAAAAATAAGTAAAAGTTGTCCGGGCGTAATAAATTTAAAAGGACTTTCATTCACCGATCATCTTCCTTGTCTAAACGATTTTTGGATAAGGTTGGTACGATAAAATCCCAAATAAAAGACTGACCTCAGGTAGCGATGAACGTAGAACATTATCCAGGTAAAAGGGCTCGTCACGAAGCGCCGGGATGGTCTGGATTTGAAGAATAGGTAACCTACGAGAATTCCTGAGAGAAGAAAGAAGGTATCTACAGAAAAGAACGCGTTCGTAAAGGCTGTCGAAAGCAGCGGATCCCACAGTGAAAGCACAGGTATTAGACTGTCTGAATAAAAGTTCTTTGAAGTTTACTGAGTGAATTGAAAAAACGGTGCTCATACGTACCGCTTGCAGCATTTTGTGAGAGCACATGACCTGAAGCCACCCATGCCATAGAGATAAAGCGAATGGATGCCAACGAACGAATTGTTCCCTCTTTCGGCGGTTGTGTATTCAGGATTAAAGAAGCGTTCGAGTAGAACGAAAATGACAGCAGAATCCGGATCGCTTAAGTACTTTAACCTTTGAGTCAATTATTTCTAGTGGCGTCTTTCAAAAGAGCACAAATGTGCGTCCGCTAAATGCGCACCTTGACAATCTACCTTATTACACGGGAGATTCTCTTGCACTAAGGTTGAAGCCTGCCCCTTCTAACAGGTAGATATTTATATAAAAGGGTTCGAGAAGGACGAATATAGCCGCACACATAAGGGAGCCGATAACTAAATGCAAAGCATGCCAATTCTGGACACTCTTATTTCTATAGCTGTAGAAATCATTACCATCAGAATACGCCAGGACATTAAATAACTGTTACGACCTTATTTCTCGGATGGATTGGATGCATTCTTTGATCCGGATTGATTATTCGTCCGGCAAAGCCCCAACTTAACGCCAATGCTCTCCCTCTTACAACTCTTAAAGGCAGGTGACACAATAATATGTGTGCTTAAAAAGAGCAAAATGTTCTAATATGAATACCAAAGCGACGTTTTGAATTTACTTTCCGAAATCCTAATAACGAATTTCGTACTCTGCACCACCCTTCCGTTCGCCGCTGAGACCCACGTTTGACAGCAACATACCCGATTTCAGCTCTTAGGCAGATGGGCAACAAGAATATACGAACAGAGAAACAATGTAACCTCTACTGAAGTAAATAATCAGCGAAAAAGACGGGCTCCGCTTTTGCAGATAGGCCGTGCAGAAGCCCTCGTACCCCAGGGAGGTATCTCTCCTCCCCCATACAGAGCATATATCCCCGTACGAGGGATTCGTCCTCCGTACGAATGGGCTTGCTGCAACCCGGCCAAACAGCTTTCAATTTCTATTCGCTCAATGCACACAATACACAACTACACAACAGTCTCCATATCAGTTTATCGGGGTCCAACCTTTCGTGTCCAGTCTCACCTCTGATCAGATATCTGCAATTTGCTGAGATTTGTACTATCTCACAAAATCTCGTCCACTCATCTGCTAAACCAACGTGCCTCACACGAGCGAAAGATCGTCAGTGACGTGAAGCGCTTTCTCGAAAAGAGTAACTTTTTATCTCAACCTGAAACTCCAAAAACAACCTCGCAGTGTCCATTTGGGAGTGAGGTTTATTCTTTCTAACGGCTCTGAAGTGTCAAAAAAAAGTGAACACAATGGCTTGTGGCTTCGTAACCTCATGCGCCAAGGTAATTTTTTTCCATTTCCTCTTTGTCGCCGGGCAGGCAATTATTCAATATTAACCTTTTGAAGGCTTATTTGCCGACCACTGAAACCAACAAAAACACCGTCTCTCGTCGTCAGAAAGGCGTCCTTACAAAAAAAAGTTCCTAACTTATCATTGCCTCGCATTATTGCTCGCCCAATCTGTTTCAATTCAGTTCCAGTATTTTTAAAGAAACCTGAATCTAAAGGTTCTTCATGCTAGCTTCTGATTCAAAACATAACGGGTTTGGAGTAAGTTGTGATCGTTCTCAAGAAAATTTAAGTGATTATGTAAACAATCGTTGAGCTTTCCTTATTACCTCGTTGCAAGTCCTCAGATTTTGAGGAACTGTTACCGAGGGGGGTTGTTTTTTTTTTTTTTTTTTTTTTTTTTTTTTTTTTTTTTTTTTTTTTTTTTTTTTTTTTTTTTTTTTTTTTTTTTTTTTTTTTTTTTTTTTTTTTTTTTTTTTTTTTTTTTTTTTTTTTTTAAAAAAAATTATCTAGAGCATATAATTATTTCTATCAAAATTCACGTTATTGCGCTAAAGTCAAACAAACCTAGTCTATGTATATGGTGTATCATGGTATGTACCAGTTCAGCTCCGCACGCGACTGCGCGCATCACATGTGGGATTCAGTGAGACTGGACAACTCGCAAAATATTAGGCCACGTGGCCGAGAAACCAATAGTAAGATGTTTCGAAAGATGCGTCAGATGAGATCCAAAGATTGTCCAATTTCGCCGAAGATTATCGCGTAGTACGCGCAGTGCATGCGGAATGAAGCTGGTACTTATCATGACTTCGTAAACATTCAGCATTCATGTCGATCGAGACTCGACGATTTAGCGGTCTATAGAATTTTCACAATTAGGGTATCAGTGTGGAAGTGACATATGGTCAATCAATAAGCATCTAGCCTAGCTCTGATGGAAATTCGCTATTAGTCAGTCCAGAGAGTTGAGTGGCTTAAGTTCCTCGCTTCTTTTGGTGGAAGATTAGGAATTGAACATATCCACGTGCTAAGAACCTGTTTCAAGTTTGAATGTGCGCACACTCAGTTGTCGTCACGTTTATTAGTTTAGTTGACGCTCATTACCACTCCTGTCACCCACCATCAACACCTCGCTCCCTTGATCGTTTGCCAGTGATGACTGCAACGAAGTTGGGACATTTGCATTCCAGACGCTCCTTATCGTTCCTTATCATTTGTTATCAGTTCATACCCACCGTTCACTCGCCACGAAGGCTACAGCGAAAATAGTGGTACTCAAATTCCTAACTTCCTTATCAACTGTTATCAGTTGTTATCACTTTCGATCAACCACTATCCGTGTTCCCGTCCTATCCCTCATGCCACTTGTATGAGCCAAGGTTCTCTGTTACTGCAAAGGCGGCAACGGAACTTGTGGTATCCACACTTCGACGCCCCTTATCAGTTCAGTTGCTACCACCTTCTTCCAATCACCCTCTTGGTCCCTGCCTCACCCCACATAATATTCATGAGTGCGAACATCCTAGGGTCAATGCAAAGGGCGTTGCGAAACTGACGATGCCTTATCAGCCCTTATCATTTGCTTCGCTCACACCATTTGGGTCCCAGTCCTACCCTACACAATATTCATGGTCAGCAATCGCCTGCTACGCGATTCGACGTAACTAGTTGGTGACATCGCTATCTGATACGGCGCCGTACTAGCTTCTCAGTATTTTTCATTCTCGGCCACCATCATCAGTGTTCAAGTCGCAGTCGCCCTATAACACCCAGAAATCTGACGCGCTCGTACAAGGGAACGAAGATATAATTTATCAGTCAGTCGGACAAAGCACACAACACACGTATATGACGCTTAGTCGATTATATTAAGTAGGATATTCCTAACTCAAATTTCAGCTACAGTATCGCCAATCTTTCTTTTGGTATTGGTTCAGTGCCTTCAAGCCTTCTTGACCTTTTGCGACAACTGCGGTTATGTTCGTACCTGTGGTTTTCCTGATATTATCAGAATCGGGCAGCGAATCCAAAATATGGTCTCAACTTGCAATAATTGCCCATAACCAAAGAACACCATCAAAGTCCTGCAACGAAATTTGGTTGCTTTCATTGACCTGCTTTTAATATAATAGATACAGAAGCTCTCAGGCATGAGACTTACATAAAAATCCAAAACCCTGTAGACGGCTTTATGCTGGTTGGAACACATTTGGGGCAGAAGGAAATTCATACTGGCACGCTTGGTGCACTTTGAGAGTTTCTAAAAAAGGAATGTCCTAAAAGTGCCATTTGCAGCTGGTTGAAAATCAAAGCAAAGTATTATTAGGTTGAAAAGAAAGTTCTGAAATACCCCACAGCCAAAAATTTAAATTTATTTTTTATCCTTTGTTTTCTAAGACCCGGAACATATTGACCATCAGACTTAGCAATACTACGCCAACCTTCGGGCAATTGGCTGACACCACATTTGTAGAAATTAGGAGAATTTTTGTCAAACAATCTTCGAAGTCGGATTTGCAGTCGTTTCTCGTCGTCGAGCTTTCTGTTCTCCAGGTAATGAGCGAGCGAGCAGGAAAGTGGAAGCAACTTGTAATGGATAGGTTGATGAATAATGGCACGGAGAACGCGGTCCACATACCCTTAGAACTTGTATCATGGACCGAAGACCGCAGCGACGTGCACCGTTCTGTCGTGAAGACCGATTGACTTTGTTCACCGTGAAGCTTTCCTGCAGTCGTTCCGAGCAGCTAGCAGCGGGTAGCCCTTGTCGTCGTCAATACTGCTGCAGAACATCACCCATGGGAAATACCGTCAAAATCCCAAAGTTTGACAACATCACCATACCCCCATCCCCCATAGTTGTCAGGTCAAGGCATTGAAACTCCGCTTTCCCATATTCTCAAACCGCTGCTGCTTTCGCATATGGTTAAAGCAGACGGTCCATTTTGTCTTCGCCAATGGCCACATGCCGCGGCCTATCGTTGCTACTGTGCGACGAGAAGTACATGTGCAGATGTCCACCCGGTGAAATCGTGCGGTACCCATCGACCACATTTCCAAGACTTGTCTAATTCCTGAAGAGCCTAAAGAACGTGCGGTGAGAGCACTCAAGACGCACTACCATACAGTGTGACGACTGTCTTGAATCATCCTCGATTACAGCGCCGACGACGTCTTGTGACAGTATCGTACGATTCTCATAGGGACCAAAGATTTCATTCTGCTGCGTAGCGTTCAAGCCGTAATGAAGGCGCCAAGACCGAGAGAGATTAAGCCCTCATTCTATCACTGGACAGATTCTGAGCAACTCTCGTGAGCTGATGTCCCGAGGCGAGGTACGCGCAGGATGAGCGCTCGGAGTGTCTCGTGGGGAAAGTTGATTCAGTGCGATGCAAACGCATTATTGGGAAAGCTGATTTGAGCACCGTACGCAGCACAGTCCGCTCCTACTATATACCACTCATGGAAAGATTCCAGAGCATTTGGGAGTAGACAATAGAAAGAGGCGCAATTAATTTATCTTAATCGCCCCAAAAACATCAAATCAAGGGTTCTCCATTACGAGTCCTTGGAAGGCATCCCCTCGAGCCATCTTGATTTGTCGACCATGCCACAGCCATGTCTATCCACATTATTGTGCAGCTTGTCGCTGGGAGTCTATCCAATTTGTGAAGAATCAAAGAAAATTTGAAGACAAATCGCAGCAATCTGAGCGTAGATTCCCCGTGACCGCGGCAATACAGACTATATAGGTTGCCTATGATCGCCAATTTGTCAAGTGATGTTCTGAAATGCGCATGCCGCGTTCTGTACGGCAATTTAGACCATTTTGTACATCGGTAGCATCCAATGAAGCGTGAATTATGATTATTTGCCGTAGTCACGTAACAATGCTCGACGGCAAAGACGCGCTGAATGTGCTGCTTCGACTTCAGCACTTTTATGTTTTCTTTGCGCGCTCCCCCCGCTCCCATCTCAACCGAGAGAGAATCGTTCGAGAAAACTCGCAGACAACCTCCACTGATGGAATTGGTAGGATGGGGCGGCACGCAGAGATGACCTTCCTTGGCCTGCGCGCGGTTTTTAAGGACATAATTGACATTTCTCATTTTCTCATCCCATAGTAATTTAGTACCCCGATTAAGTAGGACAACATAAGACGAGGAGCTGCGCCTGTTCAGAAGGTCCTAAATTATTAGTTCCTGCTGTGGAAAACATCGGTCGTAGCCTTCTTATTTTTTCACTCGCATGAGAAGCATCGCCTATGCGATAGATTCATAGGTTAGGAAACAAAAAAGTAAAGGTAAATCTAAATATCAGTGAATGACATATTCTTAATAAGCTATTACATATATAACTTATGTATATTTGTATGATAACTGATAACCACAATATACAGGGGGGGGGGCCAAAAAAAAAGACATTTTGCCTATGTCGGACTTCGGCTCTTTTTTCTTCGCAGAGATTGCTGTCGTTGACGGGAGTTCCTCAGCAGAGTATTCCCTAAGTGTTCCTCTATTAGTGTACGCAGGCTCTCCTTCACTGCCCTCACCGTCTTCAGAATATGACGTCATCTGTCACCGTCGTCAGGCTCAAGGAGGTCTACCGTAAGAGCTTCAGCCTGAAGCTCTTACGCAATTTCGTGAATCGATTTAATGTTGGATAGTTTTCTAGAGGCATTAGCTACCACTGTGCAAATCCCCTCGGAACTAGCTTTCCAGTAAGGGTCGTTATGGTACACGATCCTTCGAAGACCCCATTGAGATCGACCAGTGCACCATGTTTCCAGGGCTAATTCTTCTGATGCCGTCCACGTACGTGGCCACTATGAAGATTTTCTTATAGAATGGAATGCACTCTTTAATAATAAGTTGGAACCGTTCGGTCTGAGTTGAGTAAAATGTGCTTAAATCCATCTGGAAGTGGAGGCAAAATGTCTTTTTTTTTGGCCCCCCCTGTATATATAATTTTTATTCGTCAGATTGGA